GAAAACGTGCACAGCAGAATGAAAAAAAAGAGAAAGAAAAACCTGGGTTTCCTGCATCCCCTTTTTTTATTCTTAAGACTCCCTTTTGTTTGCTCAAGCCAGCTCATGGTAAGTTCCACTACTTTTAACTGCTTAAACTGGAGTTATTCACGATGCTGAGATGCGGGTGGCAAACAGAGGAGGTTTTAGGGCCCATATTCTCACTAGTCTTGTTATGGGATGAATTATATTCTGTTAAAAAAAAGAAATGATTAAGTCAGAATCCCCAGTATCTGTGAAAGTGGCTTTATATGGAAATAGTCTTTGCAGATGTGATCAAGTTAAGATGAGGTCATTAGGCTAACCAGAGTCCTCATAAGAAGCAAAGAGACAAAAAAACAGAAGAGGGGACCCATATGGCCAAGTGACAATGTAGGCAGAGATGGAAGCAAGCAAAGGAAAGAAAGGCTGCCAGCAAACCATGGGAAGCCAGGGAGAGGCCAGGCGGATTCCACTCCAGGTTTCAGAGGAAGCATGGCTCTGTAAACACCTTGATCTTGAACTTCCAGCCTGCAGAACTGTGAGAACACATTCCTATTGTTTTAAGCCACCCAGCTGCTGGTACTTTGTTACAATAGCCCTAAAAAACTAATGCAGGATTCCAAAACAATTTTCCTGCTTTAAAAATTGAAAACCACTGGATTCTATAATATTGAATTTAAATAATCCAAAAATTTCACTTACATAAAATATCTTATTTGTGGTGAAGTAAGTAAATGAAACCCTGATTTTACTTGTAATTTCCTAGTTAGTTTGATTTTAATGTGGGTTATATTTCTGTAATGACTTTCAGAGACTTTTGCTAAACAGTGTGCTTGTTTCTGTTAATAAAATAATTATTGACTATTTCCATTTTGGTTAAAAGTCACCTTTTATTTCTAGACTCTTCAAGTATAGGAATAAGGAACATTCACATTTTATTTAATGATTTTCTTGCAAAACCCAGCATCTCAGCAAAACCTACTATTAGCATTCCAAATTTACCATAATTTAAAAGAAGACAAAAGTTGAGCTTTGAACATACAATGGGCCCTAAAGTATCATTATTTCCAAAGGTCTAGAATATCATCCTCTGAAATTTTTTAGGTAAGTTAATTGTTTACTTTTTTTTTTTATAAGATGCCTCTGCTAATGTCTCAAGAGACCTAATTCCTATATATATCAGCTGTCAACATCATAATCATGCATGTGCAGTGTTGGTGCTTGTAGCACCTGCCACAGGCACAATTGCTGCGTTTTGAAATTTTTATTATAGATTTGCAGAATGTTTTATCCCTGACTACACTTTTCTAGAGCTGTTTCCTACAACCAAGAGTTATACCATACTCTACTTTTCAAAGACCTTTCAAACACGTGATCCCATTTGACCCACGAAATTGTGATTTTTAAATAAGAGAAGACAAATTTACCACCTTTGTCTTATAGCTGATGAGACTAATGCTTGGAAATATGCCCCAGGTCACACAAGTAATAAGGCACATCCAGATCTCCTAACTCTAAATCTGAAATGTCATTTCAAAATACTAGGCTGTCTATCTATGTAAGTACCACGCATACTAACCAATTGCGCCACTGTAGCACTCTTAGGCTGTCTATCTAATTTAGTCACAAGGTTTGGGTTATTTCATGTTTTTTGTTTGTTTGTTTGTTTGGTTTTTTTTTATTGCAGGCTTCATAGCTAATATAGTGATTTATTTTTTTAATTCACTTTTTTTTTCAAAGAGCTCATAAATGCTTTTTAAATAAATCTAGGAAGGGAAAATTGCAATGTGATTTTCTGTTTTATCCACATAACAGAAAGGAAAATGTTAGTAAGGCTTTTTACCATTTCTGTAATAATTCAGGTCATTCCTCTAGTCACCTCTCAGGGAGTTTCTGTTATGTGGATAAAACAGCAAATCACATTGCACTTTCCCATTCCTAGATGCGGGTAAAACATATGCAGAACATCCAAAAGAAGAAAAGTACAATTTCTGATTCAACATCTTTTTCCATTTCTGTGTCTACATAGGACACCACTCTCTGCACATGGCTCCACATCATATGTGAGATATTTCCATAACTCTGCTAGAAACAAGAGGCCTACATCTCTGTGCTTATGGGAATACATGAGGAAGCACCACTGTTTCCTTCCTACCTCATCCCCTCTCTCTCCACCTACAGAGCCATAAAGACTTAAGAAAGGATCATTACAAAGGCAGTGGAGATTCATAATATTATTTCAATAATTGTACATCGTAAGCATTGCAGATAGTTTTGTAAAATCACTCTGTATTTGAAACCTTTCAAAAATCTTCCTTTTAAAAAATATCATCTTTCTGATGAGAAAGCAAAGGTCTTCTCATCAGAAGGAAGCAAGCACAAAGCCTTCTTAGAAGAGGCGCAACCCAGACAAGGCCATTAGCAGGTGTAATTCTGTGAGTGAAGGGCTCTAGAGTAGAAGAAAGTTAAAAGCTATAAAACAATGGAGCTGGAAAGGACATCAATGAGGTTATATGGATTTCACTCACCTCATTTTACAGATGCAAAAATCGAAGTCCCTTGAGAAGTGCTTAGAATAGATTTCATAATTTTTAAAGAATGTATACAATGGATACTACTCATCAGTCAAAAAGAAAAATCTGCTGCAGCAACATTGATGAATCTCACAGATGTAATGCTAATTAAAATAAGCCAAAACCAAAAGAAGACATGGTATGAGGATTCACTATACATGAACGTGTAGAAAAACGTGCAAAAAAGATGGAAGCTGAGAACGACTGGACAGGGCTTGCTGCAGGATCAGGGATGGATGTGGGGGACCCAGAGGATGAAGGGGTGGAGATGTTAATTTTTTTTTGATAGAGTGGGAGTTATATAGCTATAACCATTTGTTAAAACTAGACAGTTAAGATTTGTGCCTCTCAGCACACCTAAGAAGGGTCTGTGGGGGTATAACATAGTCATATGTTTATTCCAAATATAATTGAGACTTCTTGTAAGAAAAACTTTTGAAAGATGAACATAGTGAGCTAGGAAAAATTCAGTCATGTTGAGGAGTCTGAGCACTTTTGGTACTCATCCAGGACTCCATTGCATTTCTTTTGTCTGAATAAATTTAATGTTTTCAGCTGGGCTCTAGGTCCTCTTCCCATCTTGAGTTGTTTCCCCACCTTCTTCTTAAAAGCAAAGGGGGGAAGCCTGAGAGCAGAAGGAAAAGCCATCCCTGAGGAGCTCACCCAAGGCCTCCACACAGGGGTCTCTAAAGAGATGACTGCCATTCATGGTTGAGCAAGCAGAAGCAAAATTGCCAGGAAATGGCTTCTCCAATCAATGCCACATGGTGTTTGTTCTTGAGAAATACCCCGGCCTAGTTGTGTACCACCTCTGAGATACCCAACTACCTTTCAAGAGCAAACTGCTTCATTCTCACGTGACCAAAGAAAGAACAAAATGATATGTAATTAGATTGTCCACTAAACATGCAATTTTTTGTAAGAGCAGAAGTAAATTCTCTTAATCTTGACATTTTTATCTCTTTTTAATGCTCATCTCAAATCTTAATTTCTTCATTATTAAATTAGAATTGGTAAAATGCAAAATATCAACAGACATATGATCAGCAACGTCTTTGTAGACACTGTTAAAATGTGTTAGCGATTCTCCAACATGTGTGTCAACTTGCCTCTATCTAAGGAGCAATTATATACATGGTGGCAGCAAGCAGTAAGTTACTGGCAAGCTTATTTTTCATTTATTTTATATGCATCACGAGTATTTTAATATAATAAAATTGAGTATCACAGACCCACAGCAGGAGTTTAAACAAAATAAATAACCGAGTTAAGTATGTTCTTCCTATTTAGCGTAGAAGCTCACCATACAAAATGATCTCAAAGTGCTTTGTGTGAATTACCTCAGAGATGACTTAGAGGATCCATAAAGTACATTCTGTAATTGCATACAGTGTGACTAAAACTGCCGGGATAACACTTGACCATTTGTTATTAAAATCCTCGTCCATTAGCAGCCACTGCTTATTGCATAACACCGATAGGTCTTGTAAAACACACTCTTACAGGAACCACAACCGCATTACTAAAGATCACACTCCACGTCTGCAATAACTCCATTGTGACCAAAGCTGCACTATGAAAGCGGATGTCTGCCCCAAAGAATGCGCTGGAAAATTTTCAAGAAAACTGCTTTAACTCATTGAAATCTGCTTTTTAAAACTTAAAATTCATTGACTTATTCAATGAATGGATAAATCGGATGTTACTTATAAGATTACCTGTAACTGGAAAAAATAATTTATGAGCCAAATGAGACTATTTATTTATTTATTTAATATTTATTGACGGAACTGGGGTTTTGAACTCAGGGTCTTGCACTTGCCCTTTACCACTTGAGCCACACCTTCATCCCATGACACCTTTCTTCCTGAAATGAACCTGAGGAAAATTTCTGAACACTTTCTCTTCTGTTCATAAGAAGACAAAGAAAATATAACCCAAAGCTCTCTTCATTTGAAACCCATTCAAGATTTTATCAAACTGTGGAACTTCTAACACACTTTTAAATCTACACGCACATGTATATTCATAAAACAAATGCACATAAAACAAGCCAAGACATAGACATTAATTTCACATTTTGTGGGGCAAATATATGTTTTCCCTGAGGCACAGGAACATGTAAGCCTTAAAATTATGCTATGCATATTGGTGTAATTACATAATACTAAAGATTGACTTTTTCCTCTTTGATTCTACTTTTGATAGCCAATACCTCTAAGAAAAAGACACAAATTAGTTCAGGCTGATGAAATAGTGCACTACTTAATTCATAACGTCTAAAATCATTAAAAATTAGTATAGAGCTTTTGAGAAATTTCGAGATGCTCAGGTTACAACAAAAATACTCATTACGATTTTAAGAGTAATAACTCTTTCCTTAGGACTGACATTCTGTTTACTTACAGACTGTCCATTTATCCCCCGGGGGTCTTCCATTGAAGACTTCTTCTTCGGAATTATATATGGGCTATTAGCTACACACTTCTTCAAAGGTTTCCAATGCCCCTGCACCTGTGTAGAGCAGAGCACCATGCAGCCGTATTAATTGTGTGGCATGGAATTAAGAGCTGCTCAGTACATCTGCAGCCTTCCATTCACTAGCATGTATACACAAGTCAAGAACGCTTACCTTTACTGAATGAATCTTTAAAATAAATATTATGGACTCACTGTTTATCACAATTTACATGAACCAAATGTGGCCAAATTACAGCTCAGTTGTGCCTGCTGTCAGCAGCTGCAGCCCAAGAAAAAAAGAAGAAAGATGGAGAGAGGGCAACGAAAGAGCTTTCCACACACATTTCTGAGCCAACAGTACACAGTTTTCTTTTACCCCCTACTTTTTTCTTTTTGAATTTAGTTTCTCCCTGCTATCTATCAATGTCAACTGCCCCACAATGCAAGAAGGAAATACTAACAAAGAAATATGATTGTAGTCTGAGTGAGGATGAAAGAGAGAACACTGGGGTTGAGTGTTTTACCCTCAGGGCATGGATATTATTATACTATTTCTTAGCAAGTTTACATTAGGTCACAGTTTCATGGTTGATCAATTCTGCACCTCCAGAGACTCAGCACCTTCAGGAAGAATGGGCTTGGGGGAAGCTTCAACACGGTCAATAAATGTAGTGTTTTGAAATATACTCTACATATAAAACCAGTATTGCCAGCTCACTGCTCTTTCTAATTTCCTAACTTTCAGAGTTAATTTTCATGTTCATGTTCAAATGAAGAACCCTAAAGATACTCTCAGGTTTTCAGATGGGTTTGATAACAGAAATTATTCCACATGTCTCATAAACTTGAATGCAGATATGTTAGTGTGCACTAAATGTACGTATAATGAAGCAGAAAAAAGTTACAATCTTAACATTGTCAAAGATAAAATTGCACATCCGAGAACATGTGGCAGTTTAACTTCTGTATTACTTTTTCTGAAGGTACTTAAAGTTCTGTATGATAGCATGCAGAAACCACAAAAGTGAAAGTCAAGAAATCTGAATTCTGGATTTGACTTTGCCACTAAATAGCTGAATGATCTCAGGTCAATAAACTAGACTCTCTGAATCTCAGTTTCCTCATCTGTGGAATGGGAGATTTCAATTGGATAGTGTCTTACATCCTCTATATTTTATAATTTATAATTTAATGGTTCATGCATTTGCATAAGTAATTCCTGGTATAAAAGAGCTCACTTGAAAAGTAATTTCGAAATACTCAGATTTGATTTTCTCACGATTATCAATGCTACAAAATATATGCTTTATCCATTGTCAACATAATACTCATAAATAACTAGATTTTTAAATGTTGGAGAATTCATAGTAAAGTACTATGTTCTATAATTTTACCAAGAAAAAATTTCATAATTTCAAGTTCTGTGTAAATAAAAATCATGTGGATGTATTTACAGCTGTTAAACCAAGAAAACACAACAGAGCACTCTATTTTGGATTGCACAAAATTTCAACACTGAATCTTAAAACTCACCATCATTGCACAATTAGGGAAGAGATATTATGGAATAAACTATTATTTTCATTGCTTAAGTTACTCTCAAGAGATGCATTAACTTTTGTAGGCACCTAAGGTGGGATTTTAGAGACATGATAATAATTTTGCTTTGTATTGGTAAAACGCGTCACGGTTTCCGAAGTGCTTCCATATAAGCTTCCCACAGTGCCTTATGTATGGTAAGACAAAGCCCAGTCTCATTCCTCACAGAAGGGAGCAGCCCTAAGACAAAGCCCTCTCTGATTTCCCATAAATTCCCATTCTCTCCATACCTGTCCTGAGAACATGTTTCAATCAAAATCTGTATATTTGATATTCCAGGATTATTTCCCATGTGTTTCTTTTCCATATTTCCATATTGAACTTACTGAACAGTTTAAGGTATTAAGAATGGTCAAGTTACATGAGCATGAAAGGTATTTCATTTGCAATTTTATTTCTGCTGAAGATGAAACTATTCTGTACTAAATAACATGTTTGTTATTGTTTCCTGGGCTAAAAAGAAAGGGCTGATATTATTGGGAAGTCAAAACAGTCAGCATTCATCTACTTCAGGTAGATGTCTCTAGTAAAAAAAAAGACTACCACTCAAAAACCAAAAAAAAATCACAGAGAGCCATGGACTTTATTTACAAATCCTCTGCTGTTGCTAAATCAGTATAGTTGTTTCCAGATTTTTACATGTCAATCTAAACCATGAAATATATGATATGACTGGGCCTACTGATATTTAGGAGCCTGGCTCTGGCAAACCCTTAATTCCCTTGCTGGACTTGATCTTTCATGGTTTATAAATAAGCCTGCCTCTATTATAGCACTTATCTAGTGGGACTGCAATTATTTCTCTACCTGTCTCCTTGGCTCACTGCAGCTCCATGGGGGTGAAGACTATGCCTCACTTTCTTATCCTGGTCACATATGGCACTCATTAAATATTCTGAATGAATGAACCAATGAATTGATGAGTGAATGAGTGTTGCAAGACAATATTTGAATGCATGTAAATACTGAGCTAAAATTCAGTGGAGAGTTAAATAGTGGTGCTGTCCTTTAAGCAACTTAAAAAGCATCCATCACCTTTTTGGTCCTATTTTAGTTTTTGTCACACACTTGGGGGTTCAAGCAAAAACAGGTAATTTCATTGATATCTATCTGTCTACTTATCTGCCTGCCTGCCTGCCTATGCACATAGAGAGTAACTATTCATAGAGTGAATACACCTACACATAAGCACATACACAGATGAACTTAGAGGTAAACTTGCAGCTTAAATCTAGGAGTGGTTCCTAGAAAAGGATAATAAGAATGTCACAGAGGTTAATGTTTTAGGAGATTTGCAGATTAATAGAGGCAAGTACCTTGGTATCAGAGATGCCCTTATGGGACAGGGTACTAAAGTGGCAATTATCAACTTACAGAGCATCCTGACACTCACCCTGCCAAAGCAGGGACCTGAACTAATCACCCATGTATGCATTTATCCAAAATCGTCAAATCCTTTATTTACTCACTCCTGGGTCAACTGATATGGTACTTTGCAGAAGAAGAGACCCCTTAGAGTTACACACAATGGAATCCCACCTTTCTATTGGTCGCTAAAGTGCAAAGTTGCCTCATAAAGAGAGGAGGGACTGAGAGATGTCTTGGGGCCCTGCCTGCCAAGTCCAAGACTCTAGGTTAGTTATTTACTCTGAGCATAGAGGTAAACCCTAGAAGCATCTTCCTGAAATCTACTTTACCATGTCCTTAAGGAAGAACAGACCAACTGAGCAAAACACTGAGAAATTGCTGGACAATATTAAGCATTTAAATGGGGCCTGATTCTTCATGTTTTCTAGCTCCATGAGGGCACCTGAGATGTTGGTTTTCAAGGACAGACAATGTCTAGCAATCCTTTCCAAGGCTACTGCAGCCCACAGGACACAGAGCAGGGCTTCCCACAGCTCCAGGCCAGGGAGCCCCCATCTTGCATTCACAGTCTCAGGCTAGATGCTCGCCAGGACATCTGAGGCTGAGAAGACTCCCCCAGCAGTTGGCAAGAGGAACAGTAAGAGGCTTCCCCTTGAACTGGTCTTTTCAACACCTGATGGAATGATTCCTTTTCTACTCCTTCATGAGACTCTGCTAAGGGATGTGGGGGGAGGGAGCTCAGTGCTGGTCTTTACTGAGAAGGGGGAGTTTTGGAAAGCAGGGTTCTACACTGCTGATGGGAAGCTCACTTTGTTCGGTAGACTCATGGACACAGGGTTAAGGGTGCTTCAGGAACTCCCTGATATTTGCCACTTTGGGGAGAGATGTGTGGGAAGGGGATGGAATTAGTAAACATATACCAGAAAATGAACAATGGTAAGTAAATGTTAGATTTAGGTACTGATAAAAACAAACTACAAAAAACATGAAACTGAGACTAGAATCTCACAAAATTTGTAATCATACCAAATGTCTCGTGGAGGCCCAAGGCATTATGAAGTTGGACCCCTGGAAGTGACATTATAATTATTCCAGAAGAGCCTTGTGATGCGTACTTGAATGTGTTATTTTATGTCCTACTGCAGCCAAAAAGTACAATGAATATACACTGAAAAGTACAATGAATATACAATGAAAAATACTGAAGCTTTAAGGCATGTGGGACAAAATATCTATTTGGTACATTGCCACTACAATTTAAACTCCCTGTACTACCATCATCCTCAATAATTCTACAAACGAGCTGGGCGATGGTGGTGCATGCTTGTAATCTTAGCTATTCAAGAGGCAGAGACCAGGAGGGTCATGGTTTGAAGCCAGCTCAAGGTAAATAATTCACAAGACGCTATTTTGAAAGAAACCTTCACAAAAAAAGGGCTGGTGAAGTGTCTCAAGGTGTAGGTCAAGTTCAAACCCTAGTACCACAAAAATAAATAAATAATTATAATAATTCTACAAACAGCTTTTGCTACTTTTTTTTAGAGTACTTCAAGAGCTCTAGACCTAGTTTTCCAAATTTTGAAAAATCCATATTCATCCCACACAGACCATACAGACACTATTCTTTGACTACCTATCAGCTAGGCAGTTGATAAAATAAGCAATAGAATCCGATATTGCATGCAAATATTGTCATCTGTCTTTTCTGTTAGTTCTACTGCATCATACATATTCTGCTATTTTCACAACAAAAGATTGGAAGAAGAATGACTAGAATAACTGTGTAGATTGCACAGACTGGATGTAGCTAGGGAGAGGGTCAAGTCAGGCAAACCATTGGGACAATCTTTCTAGATTAAAGAAAAATAGAGTGGAGGTAAAAGTGGGGAGTAATATGATTGGGGAAAATATTTTTTATTTTATATCCACGTGCATTTTAATTTTTTCTGCTGGTTTTGAAAACTGGATTGTATTTTAGATGGCACATTAATCATCTCTAATGAACCAGAGATCTATTAGACACTTGATAACTTGTGGCTCCTTGGATGAAAGAGTATTTTCATTACAATATACCATTGCTTTACTCTGCCTTCTCTTCAAGTGTTGAGTTTTCTAACATTCCTGAGAAGCAGAAGGAAGCTAGCAATTGAACACTGCTTTATAGGAAAGAAAGAAGCTATTCTAAAATATGTCCCCAAAAGACTACAACTACAGATTGAATAAACATGTCAAATCAAGGGGTCTCTAAGAAAATTTACCAACAGAAGTCTGCAGTGAGATGAGTCATTGGATAAATGACCTCCAGAGACCCGTGCAACTCTCTATTCCTTGGCTCCAAAAGCCAAAAAGCCCTGCATCTGTCATTTCTCCTTTGCTTTCTTCACCATCCTAAGAAATTTGGTTGGATCAAGGAAAATAGAGATTGGGCATACCCAGGTATGTTACACTCAGAAACCCTGTACTCACTGGTCTTTCTGTCACTGAAGCCAACTTACTGAAAAACTAAAATGATCGCTACCTTGGCAAATGTCTTCTACAGCTGCAGATGTAGTTCCTTCAGAAGCAAATGTCTACACTAATTTTCTTTTTAAATTTTCCACTCATTGGTACTGCTGATTTAAAGTTTTTAATGTGAAGACTATCTATTCCTTATAGAATTGCTAAATAAATGTGACAAGATTTATTTTATTTTTGATAGACACATAATTGTACATATTTTGGGGGAATAATATAATATTTGATATATGTATACATTTTATAATGATCAATTCAAGGTCATTAGCAGACCCATCACCTTAAACATTTATCATTTCTTTATGGTGAAGTCATTCAAAATTCTCTCTTCCAGCTCTTTTGAAGGATACCCTATATTACTATTAGCTACAGTCATCCTACTGTGCAATAGAATGTGCATCATTAAATGAAGAATAGAAGGCAATTAGACAATCAAACAAACTGCCTCTAATTAGGAAAATGATAATGTGTTTATTTGGTAACTTAAGATGAATTCTAACTATATTTTCAAGAACATCAGGCCTACAAATTAATTTAATGTAGCACTCCATTATCAATGTTAACAAAAGTAAATAAATGCTTGCTGACTGTGATTGGTGGCACACTCATGAGGGATTTGAGAAACAGTGTTGTGTTGTAGCACACTGCTTGACAATCATAGGCCTAAAAATCCTATATGTAATGAGGAAATCCGGACATCCAAGAAAAAATAATCTAAAGCACACATAACATCCAAAATTTCACTAAATGGTGTATTGATTTGCTGCATCTACTGAGTTTAATCTTCACCATGCAGTTGTATACAATGTATCACAGAAATAGTTGCTCAGCCTATTAAGAGAGTAGTTTCAGTGTTTTTGTTTTGTTTTTTTAATGCTCCAGAATAACTGCTGGATGGCAAAAAAAAAAAAAAAATGGCTCCAATTAACAGTTATGTTTCAATGATGAATTGTCCTACTTTCTAGAAAGGAAAACACTACTCCTTTATATAGAAAGATCTAACACCAAACAAAAATACCTGAGGATATTAAAAACATACCACAAAAACTGCTCTCCAAAATGGAGAGCATAACATTGGCTACTTGGAGCCCAGGGTTGGGGAACTGATGCAAATGTCAGAGGGGGGACTGTTGGGGATGTATTTTGAGGGTAGTAGCTACAACAGAATATCTAATTGTCAAAACCCATTAAGCTGTATACTTAATAATGTTAAAATTTGAAAAAAATATGCCACAACTTACATTTTCTATGAGTTGTCACCCTGTTTTCCAGTACCACCAAGGAAGCACGTTTTAATAGTGATTGCCTCCTTCACGATAATCTAGCACTTTCATCTCCAATTCAAACATGTTAGCGCTGATCTTTGCTGAGATGATCATTCACCAATTCTCCTCTCTAATGTGGGTGACATTTGCTCCTGTTTGAATAAAGTACCTGGATTCAACAACCAACAATGTTCATATTTAGGTGTAGAAATGCAGAAGACTAAAAACATATCCTTGGTTTAAGGGGTGAGAATTAGAATACATACAAGCCTCTTTAAGATTACAGTTCAATTGATTTGTTTATAACTGATATGATCCCACTAAAATCAGAATAGTCTGGCATTCTATAATACTCCCGGTCAGATTCATAAAGCACCTGGTTTGTGCAGAACCCACAGTAGTTCAGAAGAATCAAAATGCGATTTTATTTGTAAAAATAAGATGAAAGCGAATTTATTGCTCAGACTCTTATGCTACTCTTTTGCTGCTAAAATTCAAAAGCAATTTCAATAATGGATATAGGCATGGACTTTTAAAATCCAGCTCATTAGATAATATATTTCATGGAGGGGAACCCAAGTTCATCATTAGATCTTAGAATCAATGTATATTACATGGGGCAGTTTTAGAAGAACGAGAAAACAAATGCCTTCCAATACCATATCTAGACAATCACATCTATGGTTTAGTAAAATGATCCTCTTATTTCCTGGATGCTGATTCTTATTTTTAGTTGCTGGTTGATCAGAGTGAGGATTGCCTGATGGACTAAGTAGGTAACTGCAATTTCAAGGCCAAAAACTCAAAACTGGAAGGACAGCAAAGAAGAAAGCATCCAGCTGTCAGAAAAAGGGTTGACTCAGTGTTTCTTTGAATTTTACTCTTTCCTTAAAACCAAAGGACAACATACCTGAGAGCAAAACTAAAAAAGATTTAAGAAATCGGTCCTTAGTTCCATGAGAAAGCACTTAGTTGGTGGCAAGTATAACCGAAATATACGTAGTATGCGGTATTGACGGAGCCTCAGAAGGAAGTCAAGGAATCCACATTTCCAGCTAGGGTAGGATTCCTCTGAAACATCCCTGGCAGATAGCCAGGCTGATTCTGTGTGAACACTTCTGGGAACAGAAATTCCCCCAGCTTGTCAAGCCACCTGGTGCAGAGCTAAAATGTTTCACTTTTAGGTTTTTCCTTATACTAACCTGAAAATGACCTATCCAAACCCTCTTCTGTTGGGTCGATTTTTCTTCTGAACCAATATAAACATATTTCAACATCTTCCTAGCCCAAAAAATTCCTTGAAGTATTTGGAGATTCCAGTGATAACCCCTAATAGCTCTCTTCTCTAGGCCCAAAACCTTATTATATATCTTTTTTTTTTTTTAATGAGTTACTTAACTTTCTGATTCTCCTTTCCAGGACACACCTGTTGATCAATGGTATCTGAATCTGACCACTGCTGGTATTTACTGAGCTTAGGAACACTCTGGTCTTCTGCAAACTACCCATTTTCAAGTTGTAATTCCTCTCTGCCACAGTGAGGAATTGACTCATCCCTGTGAAATTCTCATCTTGTTCCTTTCTGCCTATCAGTCAAGCTCACTCAGATTCTCTTTGACTTGTGATTCTATGAGATACCTATTCCAGCCCTTTTAAGATGGCAACCTAAAAATCATTAGTTTAGCTTTCTTTGTTACTGATAGACATGCTGAAGGAAATAAAGCCATAAATAGATCCAGTTCTAATAAATAGAAGGGCAAGGAAAAAGACTACTGAAGACTTAGGGTCGGAGAGTAAGCACTTGACTTGTAATGCTGGCACCTATCAATTCCATAGTCTTGGAAAAAGCCTGTGAGCTTGTTAGTTCATCAGTGATGGTACTAACATCAGTGATGTTAATACCATCTTATAGGATGAAGCACATCAGCAATGCGTGCTGTACATAGTACCTGCTCAATAAATTCAGGTAAGTGGATAACACGCACCTTGTAAAGAATGAAAGGTCATGAAACCATAATGCAGTATACTTAATTGTTTATATTTACACCCAACAATTATTAACTAGATGATGTAAGCCAATTGTTTAGGGATAATTAGATACTTTTAGAAGCAACTTTTCAGACAACTAAGATAAGAGTGCAACAATACTGTTATTGTAGCACTCCTCCTCATTAGTTACATTTTGTGAACATCTTGATTTTTTTAAATCATCTAAACAATCCCACTATTGGATTTTTTTTGTAGTCCTTATCTTGTAAACTCTCTTAATTAGCATTTCTTTGGCTTTCTCTCCATGTGATCACATGTTCCCAGTGGTGAACATGTTAGACTATGCTGTTTCCTGAGCAGGGAGCAAGTCTGATTTTACTCTGGCCTTTACTAATCTGGGTTTAGCTACCATCCCAGCCATCACTCTCTCCCCTAGGCCACTTGTGCT